GAATGAGAGTTCGGTGCACATACTTGTGCAGTGCCCTTTCGCGCAGGAGGTGTCTCGCTTTTGTTTGGTAAAAGCAACGGTGCCGAATGTGATTTGGGGACTCTTCAGGCGGGAGGGAACTGGGCCCAGACATGGACCATTTATTGGAGCCATTAAGGAGGCCCTCTGGAGAGCATGAGAGTGGGAGATGAAAGGCACTCGTGTCACCGCTAGAGGTATGCTACTTAGCAAGAAAGCTAATTGAAAGAGTGGTGGAGGTGGAACGAATGAGAATGGGTAACCAAACAGCGAAAGAGAAATGGCGGTGGCCTTTACCCCCCGTGTGTGGAACCGAATGAGAGAAACCGAGCCTGAGAACACCCTCTGATACGGAGAAGGGGTGTATGAGTGTTTGTTATGGCGGACACGATCATATCTTGTTACCATCCCAAAATGGTGTGGTGACAACTTATCGTTTGTTCTTTATTTTCCTGTTTTTCTCTAACCGGTGCAAAGGACACGCGGGACTGTGGTAAAGTTGTTTTTGTTCTTCCGGTGATGCGTTAAGAGCCCCTGCGCGGTCTGTAGTTTAAGCTCTCGTTTCTGCCGCCCGGCAACGGACTGTTCAAAGCTGAGAAATAAATAAATTTTAAATAGCCTCGTCGCCGTGACTTTTTTACTCTTTGTCCTGAGCAGGTGCAGATGGTGTGAGAGAGGGGACTCCATTCCTCGTCTTGCCAGCCATGCCTGCTTGTGTGCCTGCCTGCATGCCTGTGAGGGACCCTGTCTGCCAGGCCAGTGGTCGCCTTGAATATCCCTAGTAAGTGATGGAGACCTGCTGAGCTGCCGTGACGAGCTAAGACGACCAGGCCATGTCGACAGCTGCGGAGGTGGGAACCAACGTGACTAGACTATCTGGAGGACGGAAGTCTGGGATGGAGGGTGATGCGGCGCAGGCATCGACCTCGACTGGTAGGTGGCAGGTGGCGGAGGACGCCTAGAGGCAGTAGCCAAGGAGAGCAGAGGTCCTGGCGCAGAGGTAACTATGGACCGCTCGATCTTTGTGCGGACAGTAATCGTGGGGATGCTGCAAGTCGAGCCTATGGACCTTTTTTGTTTAATAGCTTTGACGTCAGCTTCAGGACGAGCAACTCATTACAGCGCTTCATGACAAGTTTTGAAAAGAAGGCAGGCGAGAGGCCTCTGTTACTGCTGAAACTGCAGCTGTTGTCGGACCTCAACACGAAAATGGTGACGGTTCTTCTCTATAACGAGTCACTACCAGACCAAGATGTGGAGGTGTGGTTGCAACGGCACTGCTTGCTGTTGTCAAGTTGCAAGCGTGTCCAGAACTCGCTGGGCATTTGGACGGGGGCCAGACAGTGGCGAGTGAGACTTTGAGCTGTGGATGGTGCCCTGCAGCACATCCCGATTGCCCTTAACATCGGGGGCAGCAGGGGCTACGTCGTTTACGAGGACGAATCCAAGTTTTGCAGGAGGTGTGGTGATAGCACGAGTGTGCTATCACTGTAAATCACTAGACCACGTAATAGATGAGTGCCAAATCCCAAGCACAGTGTAACCTTTGTGGAAGTAAGGATCACCTGTACCGGAACTGCCCCGAATCATACGCAAGCATGGTCCGGGCACATAAGAACCAGAATACCGATGGAGGGAGCAGGGAGACGGTCGAGGCCGGGTTGGAGCACGCGCTGCATAGCCAGGCAACAGATGATATGGGTGCGAGACTACTATACGGACCTGTATGGACATAAGACATCAGAGGCAGAAGCACGGGATTTCCTTCTTGGAGAAATTCAACGGGAGGTCAGAGCTCCTGATTAGATGAATAAGCAAATTCAAATGGAGGAACTGGATAAGGCGGTGAGACGTCTACATTTGCACAAGACACCAGGGAATGACGGAATACCGGCCGATTTTTATGCCAAATTCTGGGACACCATCAAGCATGACATGTTACAACTGTACAGGGAAATTTTGGCAGAGGGTCCGGTGCCAGAGTCCATGAGGGGAGGATAATAACCCTTATATAAGGGGAAGGGGGCCCGCAGTGACCTTGGGAGCTGGTACCCAATCACCCTGCTAAACACCGACTACAAGATCCTGGCCAAATCCATCGCAGCACGACTAGGGAAAGTGGTAGAGGAACTAATACATGCAGACCAGACATGTGCGGTCCCAGGTAGGCATATTTCGGACAGCCTTGTCGTACTGAGGGAAGTGCTGGAAACCACGATAGATGGGGGAGGGCCACTGGGGCTCATTAATTTAGACCAAGAAAAAGCCTTTGATCGCATATCACATGATTATTTGTACTCGGTTTTCACACGCATGGGGATAGGAGAGCGATTGGGTGGGTGAAAAAGCTATTTAGTAATCTCTCTAGCAGGATTTTGATAAACGGGGTCCTTTCTGAAGCAGTTCTGGTTAGATCGGGGTGAGACGGGGGTGCCCCATGTCGCCAGTCCTATTCGTCATGTGTATGGAACCGTTTGCCCAGGTGGTCAGAGCCAATCAGAGAATTCGAGGGGTGCACATCCCGGGGTGTAGGGAACAGGCAAAGATATCAATGTATATGGATGATGTTGTGCTGCTCTGCAGGGATGTCTCCTCGTTTTGGGAGGTACTGGAACTTGCAAGACTTTTTCATTTGGCCTCAGGATCCAGGATTAATCTGGATAAAAGCGAGATGATGTTTTTTGGAGACCCTAGGCTTTTTTAAGGGCGGCCAACACAACTGAGAGTGAAAGAAGAAGGGATTAATATCCTGGGGGTCAACTTCTATTGACAGGAATCTGCAAAAAAGATCTGGAAAGAAAAAATGAGGACAGTGAAGGGCAGGCTGGCCAGGTGGGCGACCAGAAGCCTCACCATGGAAGGGTGGATATTGGTGTTGAAGGTAGAAATGCTTCCTACGCTCAACTACCTGGCGCACATCTTCCCACCAGGCGCGAAAATGTTGCATTGTATGGAGACATTGTTTTTCGAGTTCATTTGGGGAGGCGGGATGGACCGGGTGAAGAGGGAGACCATGTACAAACACTATGCGAACGGTGGGAGAGGAGCCCCTAACGTTTAGCGTATCCTGACTATGATTTTTGTTTGTAATACGCTCCGTTGATTTTTTTCAGATGGGTCCCAAGAAAAGGCTTCATTTTTTACAGTATAGGCCGGCATGGTTCCTTCGTAGATTAGGGATGGCTCCATTTCCTCACGGAAAGCACCCTCGCCTGGGCGCAAGGGTGGCTATGTGCCGTGGTAAACAAGTACATCGCAGAATACGCGCCGACCCTGGTAAGGGAGTCGTGGCACCGACGGCATGTCCTTGTCGAGATTGGCAAAAGGGAAACCTGCGCAGAGGTACCAGGCGCATGGAGTGCGCTCCACCATCAAATATGGGAGAACGTGGCATCTAGGGCCTTGGTTGGCGGCCTGGGACAGGTTGCCATGCAGGGCGTTTATGCATTCCTGTCATATGGCCCGCACTCCTAAATGCTCAAGCGGCTGTAATTCGGACGAGTACACGAGTCATCTTTTTGTGCGATGCCCCTTTGTGCTGGAGGTGTGGGAGCTATGCCAGCCTTTGCTAGCCCGGTTTTATCCGGTCAAGGTCACAATGCCAAATGTTATTCAGAGTTATTAGGCGGAAAGCAGGAAGGGCTTGGGCCCAGACATGGGCCGTTGTAGGGGCTATAAAAGAAGCCTTGTGGAAGGCGAGAGGTCTGATGCTCCAAGGTACCTACATGACGCCTATCGAGGTTTACCACCTGACCTGTAGGCTGATCGGCCGGGTGGTGGAGGTAGACAAGGCAAAAATTGGCTGCGACACAGCAAGAAATAGCAATGGCCTGGCACGGATTGATGCAGGCAGCACTAGGAAAAGTCCTCTGCCACAGCACCGGTAATTGAGGAACGAGACTTGGTCCGGCAACTACTGACCCTTGTTTTGAAATATAGTGGATGGACCAGCAAAGTTTTCGCGATCGGTACATTCCATGGTTTAAGGTGTTGTAAAAGACCCTGTATTCGCAGCAATGTTCCTCGTGCGGGTTGTTGTTGTTGGTACTGTTCGGCAATTCGATACAGTGGATTGTACATAGTTGTAATAAAACTTTAAAATACGTCGTCGTTGCGATCTTCACCCTCTTCAAGCTGTGGGTCTGGCAGCATGTTGGCTGTCCCGACCCAGTATGTGGTTATCCCCTAAGGCTGGGAAGGCCGGAATAAAAGAGAGAGTACCTCCTACTAGTGTCTGTGAATTAGCACACTACACCTTTACTACTTTTTGATATTGGGTTGTTTTATGTTGATTGATTTTGCATTCAGAGCATTGCCTGATTGAGTTGCTTTATGATGAATAACTTATAAAACTTTAAATTTTCATAAGTTGTACCAAACACTGGTTGCATATCGATGACTGGTATTCTGGCTCTTAATAAGGAAAATACTTGCTTGCATTAAAGTCCTGTTCCTGTGTGTGTGGTTTACCAGTCCGTTCAATCATTCCGTTGCATACAATGACATCAAATGAATCTGGTTTCCATGGGGTTGCTGCCATTACGCAACTATACCCTCGACAACCAAAAACACCCAAATCATTGACAGATACCAATTGCAACGACACCGCTTCCTATAGGGTTGTTTTCCAATGCGAAAATTTTACATTGCTCTTGCGAGCGTTCCGAACTGATTCTTCGTTTCGTGAAACGACGCCCAACAGCGCGATCACAATGAAGTTGTGAGGAACAAAAAGGCGGATAGAAAGTTGGTACCCCCATCAGAGGAGAGGAGCCATGGAGGCGTGCACCGTGCACTGGCTTTCCCGGGACCCGAGGGGTCACGACCCCCCCCGGCATAGCATGCCGGCAACCGACACGGCGGTTGGGAGCACGAGCTCAGACACAGCATGCCGACAACGCACGCGGCGATGAGAAGCGCGAGCCCAGACAGTGTGCTGACAACCCACGCAGTGGTCGGGAGCATGATTCCCCAGCCCACACCTTGGCTTCGAAGAAGTTCTTGGCTCCCTTGACTCCCTCAGCGGAGACGTCGATCTCCGAGAGGCGAGCGAGTGCCAGAAGCCCGCTCTCCTCCTGCAGCTCCCCGGCCGCCGCTTTGTGGAAAATCAGCAGGAACTGTACAGGAGGGGATGAGAGGAAACACGACGGGGTGGTTGGGACCGCTTTTGATGTCCCCCCCGCACCTCGGATGGGCACGGTTGGCTGCGTATGGTGTGACAGAAGTTCAACATAAGTACATACATACAGAATCAAAATATGTATACTGGTGGGATCCGATGAGCTATAAAGCTCTTTTTTACAGATGTCCAGTAGGGGCGAGGTCAGAACATGACAACAATACAAAACACGATAGGAATGCAAAGTAGAGGCACGGTAAACAAATCACTTATAAAGTATATAAACAAAATACAACTTTGTGGCATGGATTTTTTTATTTGTGTGGCACGTTTAAGCAAACATTTGGGCTGACACAAACCACACTAAGAGCTGCTTCTCCACACACTCCCACTGTGGCGAGATTTTAGCTACTTTGCCTGACATACAGGGGGTTCAATCCCCATCCTGACGCCTGCTGTATATTTGGAGTTTGCATGTTCTCCTCGTGGTCGTGTGGTTTTTTGTTCCACATTTAGAAACATGCTTTGAAAAGATTTGGCTGCTATAAATTTTCACATGATAAGCCACTTCATTGGACTATAATTTGTGATAGCCAGGTCGCTTCTGAAAAAGCGTTAAATAGCTCTGGGCCTTATCTGCTAAAAAAAGTTTCGATTTAGTTTAGTTTATACCCATTTAAGCACCGAACTCAATGGCCACTAAAACATCAAAGTGAGCTCCTATTGGAATGAGCGTTGAGGTGCGCATGTCTAGTTTTACAGCCCTGAGCGGGTAGGAGAAATTCCACATTCTTATGGCGGGGAGGGGGGGGGGAGTCTCTCCAAAGGACAATGGCTGTTGACTTCCCCACAAAGTGGTACCTATTTTATCGACCACGGAAGGACTTTGGGCTGAGTCAGGCGCATCCAGCGAGGATTTGAACTCGTAACCTTCCCAATCGTGAGCTGCTTCCTTCTGCGACTGAGCCACCTGGCCAGATAATAGTTGTTAAAGACTTACTCAGATATTGGTGAGGGTGTGAAGCAAAGCACTATCAATAGATCTCTCCTGAACAGCTTCAACCACAGAGAGCATAGCTCGGAGGGTATGGGCAATAACTGCGAAGATTGACCTGCACCCAACAGCATAGCAATTACATAAGTAAGCATACAATGCACCTACTCCCCAAATATGTCTCAACATGTAAAGCAATTGAGAGTCTTGTTTTCAACATCCCATCAGCCACGGAGCCTTCTAGGAGTGATTTTTTTTCAGCAGCATTGGTTAAACACTAGCCAACCATGGATCGTATACAATGGCGGAGCCAGGATTTTCAAGTATGGGGGGCAACCCCTCCAGCAATGAAAAATTATAGTTGTTAGTAATTAAGGACTTACCCCGTGCTTTTTATTCGACGCGTGTGCGGCGATGGCGCAGCCATCGATCGAGGGTCGAATTCGAACTGTGTGATCGGCATTGCGCTTGCTGAAGGTGTATGCCTTCAGGAAAGTCGTGTACTGTATACGCAAGTGCCCACAATTCTGAGTCACTTATAACTGCTTTGCTATTACTTATTGCCAATTATGGACTCAGACTATTGTCCTATCATCTCATAGAGTCCCTGGCACGTAATAATATGCTACACAGTAGCAGTGGGGGTCGCAAATGCCGATTAATTACTAATAAACCCCAATTATCCGATTGAAATTAGGGATTTCGATCGGATCATTGGGGGCACATGCCACCCCCCCCCCACTGGCTCCGCCAGTGATCGTATGAACCCACATTAATCAGCACTGGTTTAACACTAGCCTACTCTGGACCGTGTGAACCCATATTAATCAGCACTGGTTTGACACTTGCCTACTCTGGACCGTGTGAACCCATATTAATCAACACTGGTTTAACACTAGCCTACTCTGGATCGTGTGAACCCACATTAATCAGCACTGGTTTAACACTAGCCTACTCTGGATCGTATGAACTCACATTAATCAGCACTGGTTTAACACTAGCCTACTCTGGATCGTATGAACTCACATTAATCAGCACTGGTTTAACACTAGCCTACTCTGGACCGTGTGAACCCATATTAATCAGCACTGGTTTGACACTAGCCTACTCTGGATCGTATGAACTCACATTAATCAGCACTGGTTTAACACTAGCCTACTCTGGATCGTATGAACTCACATTAATCAGCACTGGTTTGACACTAGCCTACTCTGGACCGTGTGAACCCATATTAATCAGCACTGGTTTGACACTAGCCTACTCTGGATCGTATGAACCCATATTAATCAGCACTGGTTTTACACTAGCCTACTCTGGACCGTGTGAACCCATATTAATCAACACTGGTTTAACACTAGCCTACTCTGGACCGTATGAACCCATATTAATCAACACTGGTTTAACACTAGCCTACTCTGGACCGTGTGAACCCATATTAATCAGCACTGGTTTGACACTAGCCTACTCTGGACCGTGTGAACCCATATTAATCAGCACTGGTTTAAAACTAGCCTGCTCTGAACCATATGAACCCACATTAATCAGAAATGGCTTAAACTAGCCTACTATGGACTGTATGGACTCATATCAATCACAGTGGGTGGTACTTTAGTCCCCACACTGCGGAGCACTCACTTCCCGGAAGCTCAGCCGCCCATCAAAGTCCTCGTCCACCTCGGCAATCATCTCCTTGAGGCCCAGGTGTGTCTGTGGGGCGCCCAGTTTCTCCATCATGCATTTGAGGTCCATGAGGTCCATGTAGCCGTCCTTCCTGGAGTTGTGCCTGCAGGCACAGCGGAGCATCACGCTCATATATAAATACACGAATTTCATAGAGATGTGGGGTCGTAGCAAAAAAGATCAGCGTATAAAATGTCATCATCCACCGCTCATCCCCGTACGCAAGCACGTGGTTAATGGTCAGCTGCCGGATTCGCCCAGCCTCTCCCTCACAAAAGGTTGCTGGGCACACACGGTGATAACAATTACCGGGGTCGCCATTCTGGCTGTTGCCAATACAGAACAAGCCCGGCGTGTGCCGAACTCACAGCCTTACTATTTTTATTTTACCAGGTAAAGCCCACTGAGCCATACAGCTCTTTTTCAGAAGCGACCTGGCCACAAATGATAGCTCAACGAAGTGGCGTATCACGTGGCGATTTATAGCGGACAAATACTTTAAATACATGTTTATAAATGTCGAGGGAAAAACCGGTTGACCCAGGGAAAAATCCACACCTGGATAAAATCCATGTAAAGAGCATGCAAACTCCATATATACACAGCAGACGCCAGCGTCGGAATCGAATCCACGACCGTCTATATACCAGGCGACGTAGTTATCATCTCACCACCGTGGCACTCCATTACATGAGGGATGAGGGGATGAGGTCAGTGGGAACACCGAGGGCTCAACTGAGTGAGGGTTAGCGGGAGGAGGAGTGAAAGGTGATTAGCTGGGATAGTTTAAAGGGACAAGCATGGTGTATGTATTTATGTTGAACTTCTTTCGCACCGTACGTAGCCACCCGCGCTAATCAGAGGTACGGGGGAAGGACAACGAACTAAACAGGAGAGTAAGCAGGAGGATACATTTAACAATCCACCCCTTCCCTGGGGATGGACAATTCAAACATACAGTCTCAGGGAAAAGCAAATGTACCCACCCACCCTTTCCCTGGGGATGACAATTCAAGCGTACAGTCCCAGAGAAAAGCAGAGCAGAGCCAATGATTCCATCCCATTCAATGGCACCCTGTAAATAAAGCGCCACTAAAGAATGAAGATCGCTCTTCAAAAACTTCCAAAGAGCGTGAAGCCACCACCATATTGCTGCAGGGGCGTCTGATAAACACCCAGCAGTGCATGTATCTACTACACAACTACGAACTGCTGCTACTGCTGAATCATGTATGTGTCATGTGTGTATCACGTGCATATTTATTGTCAGCGCATAAGAATGTACTCTTTGGTTCTATTGGGTAAAGTCACGTAGGTAAAAAATAAAATAACAAAAATCACGACGTTTCGGCCACAACACAAGCGGCCTTCATCAGGTGAAGGGACGAGACTGTCTGGAGGACAGCGCTGGAGTGAAAAAAGCCACGCTCAGATCACGACCTTTAAGCTGTGTGAGAAGAAACAAAGCGCCTTGACAAAGGAATTAGCATATAATTTAGCATTGAAATGGCTCATTGAAATAGCTAAGTTAAAGTATACACATTCGCAGAGGCACCCCTTGACAAAGGAATTAGCATAGAATTTAGCATTGAAATAGCTGAGTGATTAGCTTGTAACTGGTCACAGAAATAGCTATGTTAAAGTCAGAGCATATACATTCACCGAGTTACCTAGTACAAATCAAACAGGAGAATTTAGCGAAACACAACCACGCTCAGACCGCGGACCTTTAAACTGTGTGCGAGCAAACAAGGTGTCCTGACAAAGAAATTAGCATAAGAATTAGCATTTGATTAGCCGATTTTAGAAAAGAGGTGGTGTACGTGCCGGTGGACTTGCCGTTTGGCGCGGGGGGGGGGGAGTTTACCTATTGATGGTGTGAAAAGGGAATTTATAAGAGCTGTGAAAGTTTGGGGTACCACTACTTGAAAAATATACTGTACCATTGAAATTAGTTTAATGTTTAGTTCGATTTAGAACATCTTTCCAATGGTTGCTTAATTTGAAACCATCTTCTCGGTTGAAATTGTGTCTGTGTTTGTAGATCTGAATTGCCTCGTGAACAAATCTCTGATAAAAACCCGTGGGTTTGCAAAGAACCTTGGTATCGGAGAAAATTATATCGTGATCACCCACAGCGTTGTAACAGTGATCAGCCATGGCAGAAGAATTCGTTTTGCCGTGTTTCAAATCTGATTTGTGCTCGCGAATTCGGTCAGAGACATGTCGCTTTGTCTCCCCGATATAGCAATCACCGCAGGTACAACTCAATTTGTAAACCCCGGGGTACTGTAAGTCAGGAATGACATCCTTCACGGATGGGATCAGATCACGAATTTTGTGTACTGTATTGAACCGGACCTGAATCTTGTGTTTGTTTAGAATTTTGGAAATCTTTTTAGTAACGCCTGCTATAAATGGTAGTGTGATGGTTTTGACCGGAGTATCAAGCGGTTGTTTCTGTATGGAGGGAGAAACAGCTTGGCGGATGGTACGGTCAGAGTAACCATTCCTTTTGAGGGCCAGGTGTACTGGTCAGGTGGTGTTGAATAAGAATGTGGTGACGTGACCGTAATGAGTCAACCGAGAGTAGTCTCAGTGACAAAAAGCGCATTCTTCAAGAGACACAAACCCGGCTAATGTGATTGCTTACTTAGCTTGAACTGCACACGTTCGCGTTATGTTCACGTTACGTTACAAGTTGCAAGCATTCACGTCTCCGTTTTGTTTGCTTTACAGGGAAGTTTAGAATGTGTATATTCCCGAGTTAGCAGGAAATACGCTCGTCAGCCACGCCAGCAATTAGCATTGGCAGGGAGCGGCGGCCACACGCCTTTGTATAATAAACCCAGGCACGCTCCATCTCCGCTGTGGACGTCCACGTGGTTCAGTTCCCTCAATTTGGCTGCCATGATCAGTCCACTGCTGGATGAAGGCCTCACCTACTGGACATCTGTGAAACTACTGGGCATCTGGGAAAAAAATGGTTTCATAGCTCGTCGGATTCCTCCGGTATTACCGTAAATAAAGATTCATATTATGTGTGCTACGGCTGGTGTTGTTAGGTACCAGCAGTGCCCGATCTAGGCATAAGCTAAGTAAGCTGCAGCGTAGGGCTTCGCATGAGGGGCCTCTACATACAAAACAAAATAATGCGAAGTTTAAACTTTTTTTATATATATAATCGGTTGCACCTCGGCCTATGTATACAATACATGGAAATGTGAAGCGTTAATATTTATATATTTAATTGACCTTTCTGTTTGAGTAATACACTGTTTTTGGTAATGCTGTGGGGCCTCTTAAGTTTGACATAGCTTGGAGCCCCAGCATGTCACTGTTATAGATTCATGTGACTTCATAAACAGTCACAACCCAGTCCTGGCAGCAGTGACTGGTGGCGAAACCGGACGTGATCTCCCACGGTTTCGCGAAGCAACTGTGGTGCCACGACAGCGAAGTCGCTCCGTCGAGGCCGGGGCCGCCGCTGTGCTGACGGTGCTGCTGCAGCGGGGAAGTCACCCGGCTCCCGTCACAGCGCTCTCCCCACCACCCCCCACATAAACACACACAGACTGGCGGGCAGGCGGGGAGCGGGGCGGCGCAGGTTAACGGCCCTGCCCATAATGCACCGCGAGTTTAACGGCCCTACTCATAATGCACCGCGAGTTTAACGGCTCTACCCATAATGCACCGCAGTAGTAATGTGGAATGGGCAGAGTACTTGGTGGGACAATGGGGGCGGGCGTGAGAGAGGGGGGGGTTAATCCGATTGGCCAGAGGTCAGCGGGGGGGGGGGGGGCGGCGGGTAAGCATTCAAACCTAGGAATAAAAAGGGACGGCATTGAGAAGTAGGGGGCCTTTTTGTTAGGAACTTGGAGGAGGGAGGACGGAGGGCGATCATCCTGTTTCTCGACCGTCCCGTGTGACGGGTTGTAGAACAGCTAGACTCCAGCCCCAGCCAAAGCTTGGTACAGCCGCGTCTCTCTCCAACCTTTTACACATCTGGGCCGAACCGTAAGTGAGAGAGTTAAGGCAAAGGGGGAGGTTCTAAGAGAGAGAGATTGAGTAGAGAGGGGACAGACCACTTGAGGATTAGACCGTAGAGAGATAGATTAGATCTGCCTGCTGGTCCGCACTGACACATGCAGTTTAGTTTGTTTATTCGTAGGTAATAAATCGTCAGTACAGTATAAACCGTGTCATGTTGTCTCTGTGAGTGCGGAGAGGAGGGCGAGGTGTTGTGAATCGGATCGCCAGGGTGCATTGTATCTACCTCCAGCTGTTCGGCGGAGTGCTCTTTTGTTTGCGCACGGGTGAGTAATTTTACCCATGTTTTTTTGCTCGCACGGGCGGGCTCACTCGGGGCTCGACGCGCATGCTTTGGCAGCAGTAACGTGCTATCACCCTGGGAATTAAGGAACGGGTCCTTAGATCATTAAATTCACTAGTGCGTGGTGTGGTGAGCCAATGCGTCGTGTGGTGCTGGTTGTGGTTCGCCCGCGCCAGTACGGGGGCGTGCAGGAGCAGCAGCGCTCACGGCACGCGCCGCGCGTGTAGCGCGTAGAGATAAATTGGTGAGCGGGTATTCCGCAGCCGCTGCCTAATTCGTTGATTCCGAACGGCTGCGACGGTAAATAAAACAAGATTACGCAATTCAAGCACGTGATGCTGCTGGCGATGGTTACCGCGTGTGTAGAGCTGCGCCGTGAGGTACACGGGTACCCACGTGCATAATCATACAACGGTTGTTGTGGCAGTGGTAGATGTGGCTATCGTGGTGGTGGACATTGTGGTTGGTGGCACGACTAGTGGTGCTCGTGCCGCGCCGTGGTCGCGCATCTTTACACGGCTATTTATAGCGCGAATCGTAGCGGACGAAGGGAGCGACGCGCGGGCAGCTGCCGCGCTATTTTTAGCGTGGGCACGTGGTGGCCAATAGGCGCGGGTAACCGCGCGTGGCCGAGTGTGGGCAGCGGCGTACCTGGGTACGCGTAGGGGAAATGCAAGCGGGGAGTGTGTGTGAATGACCCGAGGTGGCCGAGAGCCAGCCAAGAGACGTGTCTCATAGGAGCCGCATGGAGGCAGCGAGCTCGGAGCTGC